TGGAGCCACCTGCTCGAGCCCCTTACCGAATGGCTCCGCCCGAGCTAGAGGAGATGCGCAGACAGTTGAAGGATCTCCTCGATGCTGGTTACATCCGACCATCAAAGTCCCCAAATGGAGCTCCGGTGTTATTTCAAAAGAAGCACGATGGATTCTTGCGGATATGCATCGATTACCGGGCTTTGAATAAGCTCACGTGAAGAACAAGTATCCGATTTCTCTCATTGTGGACTTGTTCGATCAACTTGGTTGTGCAAGGTGGTTCACCAAGTTGGACTTGCGATCTGGCTATTACCAAGTGAGGATAGCCGAGGGAGATGAACCGAAGACAGCCTGCGTGACCAGGTACGGTTCTTATGAATACCTTGTGATGCCCTTTGGCCTCACGAATGCTTCACCCACTTTCTGTACCTTGATAAACAAGGTGTTACAACCCTTTTTGGATCGATTCGTTATAGTCTACCTCGACGACATCGTCATCTATAGCAAGACTTTGGAGGAGCATGTCGAACACTTGAGGCAAGTGTTCTTGGTATTGCGAGACAATGAGCTCTATGTTAAAGAGGAGAAGTGCTCATTTGCCCAGAAGGAGGTCCCTTTCCTTGGCCACATTGTTGGAGGTGGCAAGATCTGGATGGATCGGGACAAGATTCGAGCCATTGAAGAATGGAAGGTGCCAACCAAGGTGACGGAGCTGAGGTCATTCTTGGGGTTGGCCAACTATTATCGGCGTTTTGTCAAAGGATACTCTAAAATCGCCGCCCCCTTGACCGAGTTATTAAAGAAAGACAAGAGGTGGGATTGGAGCCCGAAGTGTCAAAGTGCCTTTGACGAACTCAAGCTTGCTATGATAAGCGAGCCAGTCTTGGTGCTGCCTGATCACACCAAGTCCTTTGAAGTGTTCACCGATGCATCCGACGTTGCTATTGGTGGGGTCTTGATACAAGAAGGACAGCCGGTTGCTTATGAAAGCCGGATGCTAAATGAGCCCGAAAGGCGATACACGGTCCATGAGAAAGAGATGACAGCGGTTGTGCACTGCTTGCGCACATGGCGACATAATTTACTTGGATCCAAGTTCATAGTGTTTACCGACAATGTTGCCAACAGTTACTTCCTAACCAGAAGAAGTTATCGCCGAAGCAGGCTCGATGGCAAGAGTTTCTTGCCGAGTTTGATTTATCCTTTGAGCACAAATCTGGGAAAGTAAATTTCGTAGCCGATGCCTTAAGCCGAAGGTACGACATGGAGTTTGTCAGTATGCCGACGGGACAGATGCGAGAACGCATCAAGGAGGGGTTGTCACATGATCCAATAGCCGCTTCGTTGATTGAGCTTTCCACTGAGGGTAAGACTCGAAAGTTTTGGCTCGAGTGAGGCTTATTGTATGCTCGAGGACACCGCCTCTATGTGTCACAATTTGAAGGATTGCGAAAGGAGCTTATAAAGGAATGTCATGATTCTAAGTGGGCAGGACATCTGGGGATCCACCGGACTTTGGCCTTAAGAGCCGAACACTATTACTGGCTGCACATGGGCAATGATGTTGAGGCCTATGTGAAGACATGTCTTGTGTGCCAACAAGACAAGATTGAGCAGAAGGAAACCAACTGGATTGTTGCAGACTTTGCCAATCCCTGAGAGACCATGGGAAAGCCTTTCCATGGATTTTATTGTCGGTCTGCCAGTTACCGATGGATTTTCTAGCATCATGGTAGTGATCGATAGATTTTCCAAGTATGGAACTTTTATCCCAGCATCCAAAGTATGCCCAGCCGAGGAGACCGCTCGACTTTTTCTAAAGCACGTGGTAAAGTACTGGGGCATACCGAAAACGATTATCAGTGATCGGGACACAAGGTTCACTGGGAGGTTCTGGAAGGAGTTGTTCAAGTTGATGGGATCAAGCTTGAACTTCTCACGATTGTTCATCCATAGACAGATGGGCAGACCAAGAGAGTGAATGCGCTCGTGGAGACTTACTTAAGGCACTATGTGAGTGCCACGCAATGTGACTGGCCAAAATTGTTGGATATAGCCCAATTTTCCTACAATTTACAGAGGAGTGAAGCGACCAATCAAAGTCCATTTGAGATAGTTACCGGGCAACAACCGCTCACCCCAAATATAATCATGACCGGATACAAGGGGCCGAATCCAACAACATACCAATTTGCCAAGGAGTGGCAAGAACAACAAAAAGTAGCCCGAGCTTGTTTGCACAAGGCCGGGAAGCGAACCAAGAAGTGGGCGGATCGAAAGCGTCGGGATGTCAATTTTGAGGTTGGTGACCTAGTCCTTGCCAAATTAAGTGGCATCTTACGCAACCCATATCACAAAGGGCTTGTGCGAAGATACGAGGGGCCGTTCAAGGTTCTAAAGCGAGTAGGCACCATGGCCTACAGATTGGAGTTGCCTCCAACCATCAAAGCTCATCCTGTGTTCCATGTGAGTTTGTTGAAGCCATACCATCAGGACAAAGAGGAGCTAGATCGAGGCAAGTCACACCGAGCGCCAGTCGGGGTAAAAGTCTCTTATGAGAAGGAAGTAGAAGCCATCCATGCGGAGAGAGCCGTTCATCGAGTGGGACATCGACCAAGGCATGAATACCTTGTTCAGTGGAAGGGGGACTTCCCGAGAGTGAAGGAAGTTGGGAGCCTTCCGAAGACTTATGGCAATTCCGAGATTAGATTGATCAGTTTCACTCTAGCCGCGCGACGAGGGCGTCGCTAGAACTAGTGGGGGAGAATGTCACAGACCGCCAGCCCATGACTGAACTCAATGCAATCAAGGCTGCCAAGGACTATCTTTACCACGTTTTGGGCCTTCTAGAAGACCTAAGTGAGCTGACCCAATCCACCTTGGAGACATGATAATTGTTTAGCATTATCTTAGAAGATAATGATGCCAACTCATTGCCCACTTGTTGTAAATAGTGTAGAGCTCTCATCTTAGCCATTGATGTATTTTAATCCCAACCGTTCATTGTAGGGGACTCCAACTATAAAAGGAGGCTCACCCCCCTTCATTTACACACCTCAAGTTGAGAAATACAAACTAGTATTCACTCTCAAATCTCTTCTTCCTTTGTGCGCCCATCTCTTTGTTTCCCCATTTCCTTTGGGTTTTCCAACGTTCTAAGCATTCTAGCTTAGTGAAGGTTCGGGTCACTTAGCCGATTTTCGACCTTGAAAACGTCTAAGGCCGTACGAGCTTGCTAGCAGCAGTCTAGCCCCGTGACAATAGCCTAAAGTTCAGCAAAAACGGCTGGGCAACGACCTAGGCTACGCATGAATCCGAATAACAATTCTTCCTCAGAGTTGTGTAAGATACCTCCTATAGTCGTAATGTTATTTGAATAATATTTGAATTTTAATATTTTAAATAGAAAAGGTATGTTTCACATAATATTTTTACATTAAATCTTTATAATATTAAATTTAAATTAATCAATTAATGAATCAAATATAAATAATTATTATCTATAAGTATACAAATAAATTAGAATGGTGATGGAAAAGAAAAGTAGCATTCCCCAAATTTCTAAACGTATAGAGAGAGAACAATGCGGCGTTAATCATTAAAATGTGGAAGCTAGAGCAGGTAAGTCCCAAGCGTGACAATTGACGAACCACATATCTTAATGGATCACCCAAAGTTATATTATGTTTATCGTTGTATTAGTCAAAGACCTCACTGGAGAAGAGCATATACGTGTCCCACGGGATTACATTATTTAAGAAAATGAATTCAGCAGCAAGAAAATTGTGATTACCGATCTTATAGATTATTCTTATACATTTTTAAATCTTATTTTAGTTATTGAATTAGTTCACGAAATTCTTTAACTTTCAAATTTGATCTCAAACACATTCATCTCATAGATTATTAATATTTTTATTAATTAATCGAAATGATCTTATGGTATAGAAAAAGTATAAGTTAAATAATGATAAAGTTACAATTTGACTCCATAAAATGACAAAATTTTAGTTTAATCCTTTTAAAAATTACTAAGTTTAAAGTTAATATAGTGGTAAAATTATATTTTGATTCCTGTACAATTCTATAATTCAAATACAACCCCCCAAAAGGTGATAATTGTGACAAAAAGTTGAGGTCCAAGTCCCCTTCACTTCCACTAGCAATGATCAACGTAGCTAATATTATAATTATGATAATAATAATGTGTTTATGTAAAGTTGTTCTGGTTTGTAAGCTACATTATTATATAGCTTGATTAAGATGAGCTTTGAATTATAAAATACATACAATGTATTTTCCATGAATCACCTGGAAACATAAAGAAACATATTCTCTTCTTTTATCATTACAATATATATAAAGTAAAGGGTAAGGGCAGCAATTGATGATATGTGAACATTCATTAATTATATTAGTGATAAGAGGAGAGGAGATCAGAGTTGGATCATAATTTTATTTAAATGTATGAATTTTTGTAAGTTATATTAAAAAATTAAGAGATATGAAACTTAAGAGATCATTTACATGTTGGCTTCATTCACTAAACGTAGTAAGTGTGTTAGGTTAGTAAATATACAATAAAGTATTTGATATTGAGATAAGGCGTTCATGTCATCAAGCAAAGCCCTTGTAAGAAATAGCGTACAAGAAGAGTAAAAGTGCTATTTTTAAGCATGAAAAGCAGAAACCATGAATGCATACAGAAATTTAATTATAAACTAAGAAAAGTTAAACCATGCATGTAACCTTATGACATGAGGTATATTTGGCACATGTGTCCATAAATATACGTTGCTTAATGCGGAAAACTTGCTTGGCTTAAGCCCCTCTACTTCTACCAAACAGTTTGATGTAAAAGAATCTATATTAATAATAAAAAAAGAAATTATACATCAATGATTAGTATCTGTTCTATTAATAAAGTAGGGTTTTGTGCAAACATGTTACATCTAAATTCCAATATGATTGGAAAGGAAAGAAAACAATGGACGGCTGTTGTAGGAATTTGAGTAAGGATGGACAGGGCTCAGATGTCTGTGCTCCCACCCGGAGTGGATGGGATATATTCTCATTCCATTCCAACACTGGAATTCATAACTCATCCATTTGGTACCAAAGAAGCTATTTTGGCATTGTTTGTTATGGGGTTGAAAAGGTCAAGAAGGTAGTCCCCATATATCTCGGCTGATCTAAACAAAGCTCTGGTTTTGGTTAACTAATACAAATTCAAAGGTGGTCTCATCTTGTTCCATATGTAACATGTACGTGCAGACAGCCAAGAGTTGTGGTGATATATTTTTCCAATCACAATGAAGAAGCCTCTTTTGCTGTTGCTTCTTAACCTTCCTCATCTATCATCCCTTCTGTCCTCACATCATCAAGGTTAATTTACTTCCTCATTTCACCTTTCTTTTCTTTTCTTTTCTTAGTAATGGTAACAATGTAAAATTTTTACAATGATGCAGGACTGGACGACCAATTTGAGAATGGATCAGGGGCAAGAGAGAGCAGTTTGGGGAAAGACAAGAAGCCCACTTGTCCTTCAAAATCAAATGCTTCCATTACCCATGGGCAAGGGATAAGAAGACATTCTATGGGTTCCACTCTAGCAAACAATTCTACAAAGAGTGATGCTGCTACCAAGAATGTTAAAAAAACTGCTACACACACCTCCCAACCCCAACCCCAAAGGCCTAATCCTCTCAGAAAATCGATTGCTAGGCCTGTATCGACGGATCCCATCCGAAAAAAGCCACTTGTTCCTCCTACACCACAAAAACTTGCAACCACCCCCAAGTCTGCTTCTTTTTCCTCAAAATCCACTATTTCACTCCGGTCAACAGAGCCACCAATTGCAGCCAAGCCACCCACCTCGTCTTATTCGTCTAGGACTAGGACTATGACTACTACCATGATGACAATGACGGCTAGGAGCATGAAGGCGCAACCTTCCCCTTTCCCCACTAGTAAGAGGGGAACTACTACTTCGGCTTCAAACAAACCTCCTCTTACTCATGGTATAAAACAAGCAAAAAATCTTGAAACCAAGCATGAAAACAAAGAAAATTTGGATCGTCAAGTTGGGGAGGTTGTGAAAGATGAGAAGAGTAATATACATGATATAAAAATACCAAAAGCCAAAGAAGAAACTCAACAACATGATCATGTTGAAGAAGAAAAAGAAAAATATACCCTTGAGAATGTTTCCTCTGTTACGCACGACCAAAAACAACATCAAGTGCCTCAGACTGAAGAAATGAAAGATAAGGCTCATGAACAAGAACTTGATGACTCAAACTCCGATGAGAAAGCCAAGGACAATGACAACAAAGAGGAAATCAATGTTACACATGAGGAGACTAAAACGAAAACCAAAGCCAAAGAAGTAGAAGAAGGTAATACAACTGAGGAGGTGGCTGCTACAAAAGAAAGTGAAGAAGAAAACAATGATGAAGGAAAAAAGCAAGGGCTTGAGTTAGTTGAAGAGGAAGCCAATGTGGTTTCCCAAAGCCAAGTAGAAGCCGAAGCAGAAGATGGGGAAAAGGAAACAGTTGAACAGGAAGCTAATGTCGTTCTTGAAAGTCAAGTACAAGCAGAAGCATCAGAGGGGAAGCAGGAAATAGTTGAAGAGGAAACAAATATACCTCCTGAAAGTCTTGTACAAGCAGAACCTACAAAGAGGAATCATGAAATAGTCGAAGAGGAAATGAATATGGATCTTGAAAGTCGTGTACAAGCAGAAGCAACACAGGGAAAGCAGGAAACAGTTGAAGAGGAAGCAAATATGGTCCCTGAAAGTCAAGTACAAGCAGAAGCAGTAAATGTGACGAAGGAAAAAGTTGAAAAGGGCACAAATTTGGTTGCTAAAAACCAAGTACAAGCAAAAGTAGCTAATGGCAAGAACAACCCACCAACACCCAACGGTGTTGTGGTGAAGATGACGGTCAGTAAGCTAGTTACAGAGAGGAAAGGTAGCGTGAGAGCACTGGTCGGGGCATTTGAATCCCATGGCAAAAACAAGGGCAGGGTGAGAGCACTCATCGGGGCATTTGAATCTCATAGATAAAACAAACTTTAATGACAAATCACTAATTCTCCTACAAATAAATCAACCATGTCTCACTACATATTTCTTGTCAAGACATCAACAATATTCAATGTCTGGATTGAGTTTTTGTTCTTGAGTTATACAATTTGTTTTATTTGTTATTCATGTGCTTAACAAAGTAACGTGACTTATATAAAAATTGGAGCTTGGTGATTAAATGTTTAAAAATAAACAAAATGCAAATTGAAGTATGTACTCTACATTATATGTAAGTTTTATATATACATATACATTATGATTCAGAATCCAGTTATAGTAAGTTACATATCCAGAATGATGGAGAGAACAAAATCACAAGTAATGGCTGAAATCTCTACAACTCCCTAAGTAAAAAAAAAAAAAACATAGATAAAAGGAGGTTGTTATCAAAAGACAAAACAGATGATGTAACAAATTTGTTGAAATATATTGAACTAGAGAAACCAGCTAACACTTTATTCCCTATAGTGTTTGATAGATTCTTGGAAAAATTACTAATAAATAATTTATAATGACATGCTACAACTCTATTGTCACTTCAAATAAAAATGTGCATGAAATCTTGCAAATTATAAGTTTTAATGCCACCTAGTTAGTAACTGAATCAATGGGTGCATATGCAAGTAAAATGAAAGGCTATGCCTATTACCTCAAAAGTATTATTATCTACTAACCCAACACAACCCTCCATTTTTATGTCCATGACCCTCCATTTGATTTCCAATCCTCATCAAATGAGCAACGTATAAAATTTTAACCTCACAATATGATGTAGGGTAAGGTGGTGCACACCTTGGTTGACGAAGACGACAATCCCTTTGACTATGGATCTAGGAAAGAAGCAAAACTACCTACAAGCAAGATAGGCCACAAATAGAAAGGGTATAGGTGGGTATAGGTGGGTAGGTGGGCGACAATGCAAATAAGATAGAAGAAAGAAATGGAAGTTTTAGATGAGCTGTTTTGTATGAATGTATGGACATGGTCATGGATAAGAAAGATTGGAAGATGGTGATGGGTAGTATGAAAAAGAACCAAGTAGAAACAATGCTATAGAAAGCAGAACCCTTAGCCTTATAAGTTTATTGTCCGGGTGGTAAAAAGGACTTGGACCCTTTGGTTATAAGACAACCAAGAACCACAAGTATCAAGGTGGAATAGATAAGGGATTGACGCCACAAGAAACCGATAAAGTTCACAAAAAAAAAAAAACTTGAAGAGAAATGTCTCACAAATAAGATGCCTTACAAAGCCAAATGCATTGACTATTTATAGGATTTCAAGGGACATGACTGAAGGGTTACATGGTGATTCGACAAACTTAAGTACAACACCCTAATCTAATACAACCAAAATATTGAATGATTAAAGTATCACACAGGACCACCATAGTGGCTAACCCAATTTTTTTTTTAAAACATTTGTAAAAAGACATTAAGTCATACTAAGTAACCTTGATTGAAATATCATCCATTTAAAATGAGAAATAATAAAGTAGTTAAAGTTTACAACAGGGAGCTCACAGATATATCCCTGTCGACACCATTTTTTTACCAGGATAAAAAATATATTTTAAGATCGACATTTTTGAAATGGTCATGGGAGTCACCATCGACCTTTGGGTTAGGTAGGTTGAATTCCTAAAAATGTCTTTTAAAACAATTTCAAGAAAAAAATCATTTTAAAGACAAAAATTAGTCTGTATTAACCAAAGATTCATTTTTAAGGGTTCAACAGTCGGCTACGCGTGGGGAAGGATAAACACTCCCACAGTGCCCAAACTTGGTACATGGTCGCTTATACGTTGTCTTAGTGGTGGAACTTGTAGATTCGAGTATAAATTAAAAATGTGATCATTTTATCGAATATTGATTAATTACACTTTATCAAATAATACACAATTATTTTCAATTTCATTTTCGTTCAAACGTCGTATTGAATAATACTACCTCAATAGGTTGTTTTTTTAACGCCCATTCTACAAAAAGGTGTTCTTGAAAATTAATATGGGTACGATATTTAATAGATATTAGCGAGAATTAAGAAAACAATAATTAACATAATATAATTTGAACACCAAAATTGCATTAAAGCCATCAACAATGTGGGGGACTAAAATAAAATAAAACAGAATATGAAGCTCGATTTAAAAAAATAGCAAAAATGTAAATGCATAATTTTAAAGAGCTAAAATGTAAATACTGAAAAATAAAAGAGTAGAATAAGTAAAATTAAAAATTAAAATACTGGAATATAAATAACAAGAAAATAAGGTTAAGTAATTAATGCTTTAATTTTTAACCAGGACCGTAATAAGGCGTGCCATACCCCGGGGCAGGTCACTGCAAGGTCGTACAATGGTTCGAATATGAAAAAAAAATTAGAGGTTATTAGTATCAAAGTAAAAATTAGTAGTTAGCGGTTAGAAGTTAGTAACTAAAATAAAAAGGGTCCAGATCATAATAATGTGGGTCATACCCCGAATCTGGTCACCACAAGATCGAATAGTTAATTAAGGTTAAATGTGATAAAATAAACGATTAATAGTTAGGGGTTAGTAAAGTTAGTAAACAAGAATAAATAAATGTCCGGATCATAATAATACGGGTCATATCCCTGATCGGGTCACCATAAGATCGTATTTAATCAATAATGGTTTGGATCGTAATAATATGGGTCTTACCCCGTATCAGGTCACCACAAGATCGTATTTAAATTAAAACGATAAAATAAAGTAGTTAGTAAATAAAATAGAAAAGAAAATAAAAAAATAAACATAAAATAGAAACAAAAACAATGTAGAGTCGAACATAATTAAATACCAGTGAGCATTGTAATCAAATATAAATGCAAGCAAATAAATTAACTAGCAGATAACCAAAATGCAAAAAACGAACTTAAAGTAGGGGGCCATTACACGATAAAACCCAAAAGGAGTGACCATTTGGTAAAAACACGTCTAAAGTTAGAGGGTTTATACATAATTCTTCCTAAAACTTATTACTTGACCCACAAATAGAAACTAAAGTGAAAAATAGCAGAATTAGGTCTTCAACTTTGCAACAAATACAAAATGCACAAGATTAGTGGCAAAAATGCGAGAACACGACAAGACTAGAGGAACTTAAGGCCAATTAACCCAAAATAATGATTTTAAAACCATATTCTTTACTATTTTGAAAAAACCCAAAAAATGGATCTCTCCTCATTTTAAACAAAATAGAGTTCTCTCCCCCTTTTCTCTTAGCCATGAGCCACCAAACTCCCAAATCTTCACCGCCCACCATTAATAGGTGGTCAATCGGTGTCCCAAATGGCGTCAGACCTCCGGAGGAACCTTAAAATTCTAAAACCCCTATGTTTTCACTCTTGAAACATGAAATATATCTCTAAAAAGCATATGCATGGACTCTAAACTCTTACATAGTTATAGTTTCGAGTCGTCCCTTCCTCTACCATGACGACCCCGATTCCGACGAGAAACTACAGTGATGAGAGAACCCCGACTCCACTATGGTAATACTTTTTCCCTCTCTTTTATTTTTTTACTTTGAAAATAAAAAGGATTAAAACTGAAAATGAAGATGAAGATACCTTTTCAAAAAAAGTTTATGATGTGATGCTGTTGAGCACCAAGTTCAAACAAAAATGCTTACAACTTTGAAGTTATTCCAAGATGATTTTAAGGGAGTTCTTCCTTATTTTATTACTTATTTACTCATTTATGCTTTATATGTGTTATAAGCATGCTTTGAAATTCTAAACTATGCTTGAATACTCATATATTGTCCTATTCTTGCATCCTATATGATATTCATGCATGTCACATCTTGAATTAGCTTATTTCATGCATATGTTACACAATCTCTACTTATGTTATCATATCAATTGAATTATTATATTAGCCATGGAATCATGTGTTGCATTAGAATGTTACTTATTACATATTTATGAACACGAGCATTGTAACTTATATACATTTTGTGTTTGGTGCAAGGTACATTCAAGGTAATCCAATGGATAGTTCACGCCACTCATATTGATCACCAGTTTTGAACAAGTTTGAAGCATATTTAGGTTATGGTGTCTTCTTGACATCTAATACCCTTTCTCTTAGCTTTCCAGCTCACTTTGAATCGTATCAATCCAACATTGGAAGCTTAAGATATGCCCAGATTACTAAAGACAATGCATGCTGAAAATTTATACGGGATTTACAACCAAATGAAGAGCCATGTTCACACCTGAAGCATTTCCACCTTCATGAATCCATTAATGCATGTACATTCATCCAAGGAGGCTAAAGGACTTGTTCACATTCAAGGGAGATGAATGAATTATTTTCGAGTTCATTCACCAAATCCAAGTGCATGAAGAGAGTTTGTGAGTCATGTTCGCACATGATGCATGTATTCTAAAGGGGCCCGAACCAACATGGATACATTCCTTCAAATTGATGCAAGAAAAATGAACCAACATGTTCACATAAGAGGGATGAATTCGACCATGAAGATTAATTCAATTTATGGATGAATAGGCATTCATCCAATTCATTATTCATGTTCACATCGGTTGTACCATGCATATAATTAAAAGATGGACATTCATCCATGAATGGTCATTCATTAAAGGCCATGTGTTCACACCATGTGTACAATGCATCCTAGGCATATTAGGCTTATAAATAGCCAGCATTTCATTTGTAAATTAAAAACCAACTTTGTTCAATAAAATATGTTTTGTGAGAGTTTCTCTCTTTAGTTCTTAATTGAACTTTATCGACTTATCAAGCTTAGCTCATGGCATCAACCTATCTATTTCCAACTTGATACTTTTGGTTCCTATCTATTTTATAAATAGTGGGTCAAAGTCCTTGTTTACCACCCCTTAAGGAAGCAATATAAAGTTTGGGTATTTGTTCTTTAACATTGGTTCTTCTTTGAGTCTTGTTTGAGATACTATATTCATCTTCATCACCATCACCTTCATTATACTTCCATTACCATACTTCATCATTTCCCTTAAACATATC